TTTTTTCTGCCTCGCCATCACCCCTTGCTGTTCTTTCCATGCCCTGTGCCCTATTTTGTCTCAATTCCATTATTTTCCATTGTATCCCAAACCTGGTGTCTGTTCTAACCATTACACCCATTGATTATTTCACTTGAACTCTAACAAAATGGGAAAAATGGCCCAGACATAATTTATTTCTTTAATCTATGTATTCATCTAGCCCACATGTTGCACACAAATGGGCTGTGCAATACCACAGATCACCTTCTGACTGTGCAGAAACCAGTGAGCCATCATGCCATGAGTACTACCATTGCCAAACAGATCCACTTCTCCCCTTGCTCACACCAAAGATCTCAAACAGCAGGACTTAGCTTTTTGATAGACTCGTATAATGACTAAAAAAAGAAAAGGCTATTAAGATTCCCTGTTTGAAACCTGGAATCTGTAATTAGACCTCTCTATCAGTCCACAGCAGAACTGAGGTAGGCTACAGTCACAGTACGAAATGTCAACCTAAATGGGAATACAGTTGTCATTTGAAGGCAACCCAGTTTTGTGTGTCACAAAAGTTTTATCTAATTTTTAATCCATACCCTGCCCACAATGCAACCCAGCACTTGAAGTCTGAGTGAAATTCTCCTCCTTTTGCCTCAATTTAATATAAAAGTTAACCTGACCTGAGCAGCGTACAAACACCTATTTCAAAGTGACCAAATGGTGGTATTTGCCTTCACAGAGTAAAGTGTTCAGCACTCTGGCATATTTTCCCTGGTGGAGCTCAGCACCATGCAAGAAGGATTCATTACATCCTAGGATCAGGACTTTGAGTTTTCATTCTTCTTATATTGGTGTAATGGAGAAGTAGAGGCTGCTTTCCTACACAGTACAATCGATCATTGTGATTGCCGTATCCATGGCTAGATGGTGTTCTGAGGTTTTCCCATCTGCACCAGTTCATTGTAAAACCAGCACATAGACCTGGTTCTCTCGCTGTTGTATTCCTTTACATCTCCAGCCTCCTCTGCCTCCTGGTTTACACTGCAAGCAGACGAGATCACCGTGAGGATCCACACTCCGAAATGCCCTATTTGAATTTCCATCTGTCAATAACGCTAAAGCAAAACCACTGCAGCAATTACATGTGTACACAATAATCTTGTCGTCCAGTGTTTTTAGCGCATCCCAGAATGCATTAAGATAGTGCCAGGAGAGATTCAGCTCTGTTGGCTCAGCTGTAAACCTGCAATCTGTACAAAAACACCCAAGTGTCAATCAAAAGACGTTCCTGCTCTCTGCATGTTTCACAATGCATAATTTAGCTACTACGCTTGTCAGGTTCTCCACGCTGCTCTTCTACCCGATGGTAAATGTGTTCATGAACCCAACTGTCATCAACAAAGGAAAACAGCACATGGAAATAACAGGCTAAAGGAGGCGAGAGACCTCTTTTTCTTTCTCTGTTGAGGGAATTACGAGTAAGGGAAAGTTTAGACAGACTTAAATTTTTAATGCTCAGTGAGTAAGAGATCCCAAGGGATGAAGGATATGAAACAACAACCGCATCGGCTCTGTGCTGAGGAGGAGGATGGAGCTTGGTAAAACATATGAAGCAACGAAGGAGCTGTCTCTGCTTCCATACAGGTCACTATAATGGGGCAATTTTAACTAACCAATGGAAGGTCTACTTTACATCCTGCACCTACAGTGCAGAAGCCAAATCCCACCTTCCCACCACATTCCTGCCACTGTCAACAAACTCTGAAGCACGTCATTCTTCCTCAAATGAATTATAGTTATTGAAGGGCCCTGCCAGAAAGGATGAAAATTTCAGACTCAACTACATTAGGCAGTACCTACCCCACTGGTTTACCCCACGGTTAATACGCAATAAAAAAGAAATCTCTGTCCCAGGACGTGACTTTAGAGCTGATCAGTGCCAAAGCTACAGACCATAAGGACAGCTTCACACTTGCCTCAGCTAGTTCATGAATAAACATCCAATTCATTCAAATGAGTTCTATATTAACTAATTTAAATAATTTTCATTTTGCTTTGAATGGTAAACAGATCTATTCTGCCAGGATAGTTGAGTTTGCAATTCAAATTACACACCGATTTGTAATGAGAAAAATATAATTAATGGCAAAGCTTGAAGTAACTACAATTTTACTCCTTTGATTTCCTGCAGGGAAGGGGGATGGAGGGTGAAGCTTGCAGGCACATGCACACTCACACTGTCCTTTGATATGCCAATACATTTTATTACAAACTGAAGCATTTGGGCCTCAGCCCTATTTTAGTGCATTATACCATAATGTCAGGGGAGGACATAACATGACTTGACATTATCCTTGCAGGCACCATGATGCAAAACTAACGTCATCCAATAAATAATAATGCAACAGTCTGTAAATTAAACGACTTCCTTCTATCAGGATCATAAACAATAATTATTTGGCAGCTGCCCCTTAAAAGCTCTGTATGCGCTGAACATTAAATCAAGCTCTATTGATTTGGTAAACTGAACCAGACTGCTTTTTTTTCCATCTCTCTTCCATCTATTGAAATTCTCCATCCTCTCACTTGTACCAGTGTTGTCTGGCATCGCATTTACAAGACTCACACTGATCAGTCCTATCTGCTTCCTAAGCAGAAACAAAGTATTGTACCAGTGATAGTATTTTGCCCGCTAAGCAATTCCTTCTTGGCAGATATGCCTTTGGCTCCTGATTAAAAACAAATTGTAACAACAGGTAACTGGCCCTGCCCATTCTGTTTGTATGGTCTTGCCAAGAGATACCTTCATTGTGATCAATATGTGCAGAACTGGGCCCCTAGGAAACAAGACCACGCAATTCAGAGCTGCCTTTTATTTCTTCAGAAGGTTTGACAACAAAGTAGTGTGCAATGCTAAACTGGCAGAAAACCTCAGTGGAGTTGATTGGGAATGACAGTTTCTTTTTTTCATCAAGGCAAGGTCTGATCTTTCAGGTTTTACTAGGTAAAACTCTCGGGACTGTAGTGAAGTTCAGTTCATTAAGATACAGTCATTGATCAGCAAAACAATTAAGCACAGGACGAACTTCAGACATCTGCATAGAATGAAGTCCAGTACTCATAAGCTACTTTCCAAAGCTGGCCAGAGCTCAGCTCTCCCTACAGCAGACAAGAGGCACTCCTGAACACCCAGCCTCCTCCTTGTACTGCCCCCATGGGAGCTACAATCTTTTCAAAGCCCACCTTTGACCACAGGCCAAATCCCTTGAGCAAACACACAGAGGAGCTCTGTGATTTATGAATGCATTTAGGACCTCCCTCTTTTCCAACTGATGGAAGTCCTGAAGGCTCAGCTGTTCCGGGGTGTTTTAGATGTCTCATTCCAAAACACAGCTCAAGCTCTTAAATGCTTACATCTTATGGTGAGGGAAAAACAAAACAAAACAAACAACAAAACAGAAAACACACACCCAAAAAGCAGGAAAGTTTCCCAGATTTAATACTCTGGCATACAGTTACATCACCTGGACAGAAGAGAAAGGAGCCACCACACACTCCACATTTGTGGTCACTCAAGCAAAACAGTTTACATGAAGTAGCCACAGCCCAAAGAGCAGACTAACATTTTCATGAAAAGCAGTATGCCTCCAGTTATGAAACAATCATTATTTTCTATTACAACAGTCGATAAAATCTTTTACCCCTTGACCCTGGCATTTTGAGATTTAGTTTATGGCATTGTACACCCTTCTGGTAACATTGATTACAATCCACATAATAAAAGGCAGTTTAAGACACTAATAAAATTAAAAAATTAACCCCTCTTACATCATTTGACTTATTCCTAAACCAACAGATTTCTCTGACATATTTTTTTGTTGTTGTTGCTGTTGTTTTTTAAGCAATCAATTTTCTGTTCATTCAAAAGGCAGTCAGATCCGAACAAAAAGATAACAGTTCAGCTCATATGCAAGGCAGGAATGAGCCTGTTTCTGCTCTAATCCATAGACTACAGCTCACTTCCAGAGGAATTGAGGCAACAGCTACACCAGAAGTCAAGCGTGACACACAAATGGTACATATACTTTTTCAACGGTCGTGTGAACAGCAAGTAGAAGAATGACTTCGGCAGGCAGAATTCTTAAACGAGACTTTTCTCAAACACATTCACAAGCCGGAGGCTAAACATTCATCTCTTCTTCCCCCAGCCCAGAATAAACTGGATGTACAGAGGGAATACATATGAGCAACGGTGACAAGAATACCTCTGCTTGGAGCTACGTAGTGGTAAGAATGCACAGCTGCTCTGTTGCTGTACACAGCAAAAATGAACAAACAAATAAACCCACCACATTATTTTTCTTAAACATTGCGGATTAAATGTATTTTTTAAAAACTGTTCCACATGGAACTTACAGCTCTTGTATTCAGCTTTTGTGCACCAAAAAGCAGAGAATCAGGACACACCCTCACTTATGCTGACCAAATTTTGCTATCTTTATTGATGTGTATCTACCATTGGAATTACAGAATCTGGCAAAAGAAGGCTTTAAACTTCCAGGGCAAAATATTTGAATGCACAGCTAACTTCTGAATTTGGTTACACCCAAAAATCTTGTTAATTCTAGTTTGTCCTCACCCGGAATTTAGTCCTTCCTTTCTGCAAGTACAGGACAATTTTCTGCTCTCACTGAAAGTCATGGCTTGGCAATTTAGTAATGCATTTCTTTGTTAAGATAACCTCATCCAGAAGCTTCTTCTGTTCTTACCAGCGTGGCAAAAACTCCTCACCTGGAGGCTGACTGGAAAATTGAATTACCCACTGACCTATGGAGACATGGCCATGAACTGCCATACAATTTCAGTGGAATTCCATCACCCAACACCAGTTGTTGGTGTTGCATCATTCAACACCACCCCAACACCACCCAACAAGCACCCGGAGCACTTGTTCCACATTGACTGGAAGTCTGGAGACTAACCATCAGCACGGCTCTAGCAAAACACACAGAACTCACCATCCGGAGGCATCAGGACCTTATTATTCTGCGTACACCAGCCAACGGGGTGAAGGTCTGCTGTCATTACGTCACACCAGAAATCCGCCCTGCGGTCATCTCCATAGCCGCAGTAACGAAGCAACAAGAGCTGTCCACATGTTGTAATGATCGTAGCCACCCAGTACGTGTCCGGATTGCTCTTGTTGGCCACTTCTAATTTCATCCCTGGTTGGAAACTGCTTTGAAGGCTGATTTCAACCTTACAGAATGAGAAAGGCATGGTGTTACTTTTTCTTCTTTGCAGGCAGACTCCCTGTCTGACTAAGCAAGCCAACACTGCCACTAAAGAACAAGTCTGGGATAGGACATGAGTTGATTGGGCTCCTTAATACAACCACCTCCTTCCCAGTCTGCCCAGGATCATGACTACTTCACTAGTACCTACCCCATCATGAAAGGTCCCATGTACTCCAAAGGGGCTCACCAGCAGTGTCAACCTCAGGTGCATCACATTTAGGAGAGGGCTGGTAGCTGCCTTAGCATCATCAATCTTTACATAATGCTTGGGAGAAAGGTGGGTCACCCTACTGAGGTTACATTTCCCACTCCACAGCTCCAGTCAGGCAAATGACAGATGCGTGCAAGGTAGAACAGGCAGGCACTGAGCACCTCTGGGAGTTAGGTCCAGCTATAATAATTAGTCATATAACAACACTGAGGCACCTCTTGATGTATGACAAGCATCACAGTCTGAATGCTGTGCCAAGCAGACCGAGGAGAGCATTTCCACTAAATCCATGCCCAGCAGCTCAAAGCACAGCCAATTCACTCTCCCAGCACCTTGGTAAAGAAGGCAGGATCCATGGCTGAAAGAAGCAACTGGCTTGGGATCACTGTCCTGCCCTTTGATGGACAGGTCACTTCCATTCATCTCAGCAGTGACAGGTCACAAATAATTCGCCCATGGACACTGGAGGCACCAGTGCATCTCTTAGAGCGCATCTCTCAGTCCCTGCACGGACTGATATGGGCACATCGAAATCGATCTTCCAAGGGCCAGTGGGGTGTCTCAACCTGCTGTTGGTACAGAAGAGGTAGGTACTGGTCCACTGTTTGCAATGCCAGCTTTGTCTTCAGAAGTCCATCCAAAACTGAGCCTGTGACTCCCTATGAGATGCTTAAGGATGGATTCTTAAATGTTTCTAAGTACATTATCTCCTACAGAGAGATTTTACAATCTGGTTTAAGCCTGTCTCTGATTTAGTTCTCATTTACATGACAGGTTAAAATGCCTCTTCTGCTCACAGAGATAAATGTATTACAGTCTACATAGCCACCTGCAGATTCATACTTCAGGTTGCCAAGCTGAAGAAAAGAAAAAGAAAAAAGAAAACTGAGCTCCTCTGGAATATCTAGCACTGCCTCACCCACCCCACTCCAGTTTATGACATGAGTGGTGGCCAGCCAAAGCTATATATTATTTGCAGATTATAACACTACACATGCTTTTAATTATGTAGACACTTTCATCAGCATCAATGCCTGAGTCAGAACAGCTGAGGTTGGAAGGGACCTCTGGAGATCATCTAAGATTGAGAAAAATCTGTGACATTTACTAGTTTAGTCATAAGACAGGATTTAGCTCTTGTGATGCTCAGGGTCCTCAAGAATAATCCAGGATACATGGCCATTTGTGGTGTCTCTCCTTGATCTCATCTAGAGTAAGGACCAAAGCAGTATTCTAGAGGCAAGAGACTTGTGACTGGAAATCACACAAACTGAGGACAAAACAATCAAATCTTCTTTGAGGGCCTTCCAGTTCCTGGACAACCAATTTTTTGGAGGATGAAGTTCCAGACTGTGAAGCATAGACACCAAGGATAATTCCCAGCATAAACTTACATCACATCAACTGTCCCAGGTGTGGAATACCACAATCAGCAGGCTGCAACAAGCATCTCCATACATCTAAAGAAATCCATAAGGACTTCACGAAAAACAGAACTTCCACCTGGCTCCAGTATTTGGGTAAGGGCTCAGAGCAGAACCCTGGGACAGACCTCTTTCCAGACATCCACTGGACCAAAGATAAACTACAATAAAACTTCACCATTGTCCTGTAATTCTCCAGTACAGAAAATTATGGTCCTTCATCCTGCAATACTCTAGTGTGGTTAAAATGAAAGCAAAATAAGTAACGGAGGATTGTATGACTTTTTTTTTTTCAGATGTTGATAGGAGAGAGAGGCTTTTCATCACTGCTGTTCCTTACTTCCTCAAAAAAAAAATCAAGAAGGCACCTGAAGACAAAGGTAACTTAATAACATGAAGGCAGTCATCAAAATGGAAACTAATCCTAAAGTAGCAACAGATTCTTTGAGGAACTTCCTTCTCACTGCACCACAACTACACAGCTCTCAAAAAATGTCTCTGCCGGTAACCAGACTCAGTTTAAGGGAGCTGAGAGCATCACAGCTAAAAGCCCTCTCTTTCCTGCTTAAGATGCCCACATCCTCCAGAGCATTCATGCATGCCTTCAACTATGATGAACCTGTGCATCAATTTCAGTTCTGTCCATGTCCTTGTGTAAAGGCAGGCTATGAACAGCACACGGGTGGGATGAGCAGAAGAGGTTAGACAACTGGATGTAGATGGAGAAACTGGTCCCATACAATGAGATCTTTGAATGCAATGGGCTCTGCTTGAAGACTCCTTCTTCAAAGCGTGCTCCAATCTTCTCCATCAGTCAAAATTTCAGAAACTGTGGATACTACTTCTGCTAACATGGACCAGAGGAACAGACCTTGCTGTAACTACCAGGGCATATCCAGGACTCCTTCATGTCTGCACAAGCCACATTCACCCAGGAGGGTCATCTGCCCAAGCATTTGGCTCCCACACTACTGAGGCAGCATCTCCAGGAAGGAGGCTGCAAGATTGTTATTCTATTCAGTGGCTTCCTATGGGCCATGCTGGACTCTAGTGCTGAGTGAGCCTGCTAGTCAGTAAATCACACATTGAGAGGACACCTTCAGATAAATCAAGCAGTCTTCTGAGATCAAGCTCTATGAGTTGTGATGGATAGCAATAAAACAAAAAGGAAAAGGAGAAACAGTGGAATATAAAAAAAAAAACATAAGTACATTATAAACATTATACAAATATGAGTATTATAGAGCAACATAAACCTTGATCAATGACCAATCTGAACCCAGGGCAGATGACAGAGTGCCCTGAGTTGTGACTGCAGTCAGTGCGTGCAAACTGATGTCACCTAACACAAGCTAGAGTGCCGGGAGCTGCACCAGGCAGCACTCAGCTTTGTTCCCATGCAGGCTGTCACATCCTCAGAGGGCCAAATCCTGCCCCAAATGGTCAGATCCCACTTCAGTTGACCAGGAACCCCCTGAAAACCAGAAGAGGGAGCACGCTCAATGCTCTTGAGGCACAGCCAAAGCACGTACGTGTTTGAAGGAGGTGTGGGGAGCGGCACTGGCTCCTGTTTCTTCCAGGAACTCATCCCAGTTGAAGTCTGCATCCTCAATGCTGGAGCCCTCATCTGCTCAAAAGAAAAAAAAAAAAAAACAATAAAAAGAAAAAAGAAAAAAAAGAAAAAATAGAAAGAAAGGAAAGCAGCTTACAACACAGCCAAAGAAGGCAAAAGTTATGTCAGAGAGTTTGGGGTGAGAATAGCAACCGATATAAACGTCAACACAAGGAAACACAGAAAGTTTGTTTAAAGGTCTGTGCTTAGCCAGTCTGACCAGCTCTTACTGCACTTTCAGCAGATTTGGGGACTTCAGCAGCCACCACTGTGAGACCACTTTCACAGCAGCAACAGAACAACGTCACCATAGTGCAACAGGGACTTGTGCCTTTGCCACAGGGGCACTGGCTGCCTATCCACTATCTCCAGGGTGTAATGGCCCAGCCTTGGGATCCCCAGGACTGTTAATTACAGCAGCTTCCTGGTGATAATATTAGGAGTTGCTTCTGTTGGCCGAGCAGCCCACAGAGCAAATACTCCAACCCTTGTGACTGTGGAGCCCCAGTTTCGGTACTGCCACCCTATCTGTCCCTGCTCAGCCTCCCTCTGTCCCAATACATCAGCCAAGACCTCCATGGGACCATTGTCCCAGGGCTACAGCTGCTTTCCCCCTAAACCTCCTGCACCACTCACAAAACTGCTCCCTGCATTTCTCCTTGTCCCATTTCAGATTTGGGGTTCTGTATCATTCCTCCCCCATCCACACCATTGGCCCACACACGATCCTTCCCCATGGCAAAGGAGCTGATTTTACTGCTCTTTCTTTTGCTGCATCCACGCCAAGCAGAGCAGAGCTGAGGCCTCAAACCATCACCAAAACACACATAGCAATAATTAAAAATAAATCTTCCTTCACTTACAGAAAAATCAGCCAAATCTGATTGTTTTCATTTTGTTCCCAGGCAATCTCGCAAACCCAGTTTCATCCCCAGAGCAAAAATATTTACAGTCTAGCAATGAGCCCTTCGCAATAAGCATTTATCAGGCAAACTCTGCGAGACCCTTACCTGCCCAAACATTCATCAGCATGGTCATGATGTAATTAAAGTGACTCATGACAAACTGAATTAAGAAACCTCCCCAGACAGTTTTATGAAGAAAACAGCAGGATTAATTTATTGCAATTATTGCTACAGGTCTCCAGTTTTCAGGACTAGAAAATTATATTGTGCAATAGGAATCTCTCTTCATTAAAAGGGGAAGAAATAGGTTTTATTTGCTGCCCATGGAGCCAGACATATATATGCAAGGGGAAAAAAATGTATTGGAGGAGGGGTTTTGAGTCAGAGCTGGCAGAGGGTAAAAGATTTGTCTGGGAGTTCAAAGAGGAGTGCTGAGCCATCATCACCCTTAAACACTGCACTCTGCTGCATCAAGCCTAAGGTCTGACTCCTTACTGCAAACTCAATTAACCTGCTTAAGTATGAAGATGTAAATCAACATTTACTCCCATGATAAGGTGGCTACCAGATGAGTTTTCAACTCAGCTGGACAAGAAATAGCCCAACCCCATGATAACGATCTGGAATCAGACAAATTCAATGTAGAATAAGGGATGGGCTTTGTTTCGTGTAGTGTGATCGTTGCAAAAACCTCCAGGCAGAGAAACTGTCCCTGTTTGAGATACTGGACCTAAAATGAGGGCCCTGTTCATTCTTGGCTGAAAGACAAGTCACAGCTTAGCCACGAGGTAGGAACTTGGTGCAAAAAATTGCTGAGACTTTCTCTCTTCTATAACATGCAGGCAGACAACTTTGCTGATCAGGGAAATCCTTCAGCCTCAAAGTCTGTAACCCTGTGGAGTTAATGTTTTAGAGGAGAGCCAGGTCCAAAGATTTCAAAGGCTAGGACTCTACAAAACAGTATCAGAGTCCGTGAGTAGATGGTTAGCAGATATGGTTGTCCATCAAAGCCTTAAAATTACTTCTATGTTTAAGCAACTTTCTACCCTGAGCACCACCAATCCCAGTCCCACTAAGTCTATTACTATATCTGAAGTCTGTATTACTATGCCTGATGTGAAAAAGTGAAGGCAAAAAGTTAAAAGCCCATCTCCTAAAAGCACATCCCCTCTGCCTGGTTGCTCCCTGCTTTTGCGTCCATCTGAGCCTGTGGTACTCGGATGGGCTGCTCAACAACCTGCAAGGACATCTCCTGAGGACATCTCCAGGTCAGCCCAGGGCTCTCTCCTGCTCAGCTATTTCTTGTTCAAAGCATGAGACATTTCTCTCAGCCTATGATGCTCTCTATATGTTCCCAGTTTTCACTCCTTCTTTTTGTTCTAACTTTCTGAGGGAGTCCATGCAAGTTTCTCCTTTTCTCCATCCATCCTAAATATTCTTATGGAAGGAGTAATTACCACAGAGCAGAATTTTCAAGCAGTTCAGTATATACATCTTCAGCCCATTCAGGGAGCAATGTCTCCAGGGCGACAAAATCTTCTCCAGAATTTGGCAACAGTAAGTTAATTATGTTAGCATTACAGATGCTAGTTACGGATGCAACAAGTCTTTTACAATCTTATCACCCATGACCTACTCTGCCACATGCCAACATAGAGCATCACTCACCCTGCTGCTCCCACAGCCTCACCAGCAGGCTCATTCACATGCAGTCCAGCAAAACTCCCAACAGCATCTGTTTTCAAAATCAGCCAGATCTCTCCTTCCTAAACCCAAACAGAGAGGCTCAAGCCCTGGCAGTGCTATTCCCCCAGTGATGAGAGCTGCAGCCTTCCCTCTCTGTCAATCCATTTCTCTCCAGTCTGACTCGTCTACAATGTTTTATCTGCAGACTTTATCAGGAAATTACTTTTACAAGGTCTGTAAAAATAATGTCAGAGAATTCATTTATCACGGCATCAGTGTTTTATTTTCCCTCATTTTACCACACAGGATTGTGAAGGGACTGCAAGCTTCCTTTTTTACTTTTTATTTTCTATTTTATTTGTTTAATAGCTTCTGTTCCCTTTTAGAAATCTGGCAGGGGGTCATTCAGAGCAGACACATCACAGCCCTGGGGTCAGAGCAGCCCAAGGAACATGGGGTTACACCCCTAATGCCATCCACGTGTGCATTAATGGGACTGTACACAACTCTCCTCAACCATCACAACACCCCTACCAATGAGGAGCACAACACAGCCTTCGTCGACCTCTCTCATGTTTCTGGAGATCTCTGATTAAAAGGCAGACATGGAAAGGCAAAGTCCTTCCTAACAAATGACAATGACAACAGTGCCCACTTGAGAAGCGATTATCCAAAGCGATTATCTGTTCGTCCCTTCCCAAGTCACAGGCTCCAACAACGAAAGTCCTGGCTCTGCTGCAGAGATCCCCACAAGATGACAAAGTCGGCATTAGGCCTATTTTACATATCAACTCCCTTTCCAATTATTGGTGCTTAGGCCCAGTGCTCTTTTTTAATGAGAGAGTCAAGGCTGGCTAGCCTACAATACGGTGATGTATAAACAAGCCTAGGATGGCAAATAAAATCAACCAGTCATTATCTCTGAGCCTCTCAATGGCTTTAAAGTGCTCTGCGGTCCTCCATGCATTGACATGATAAAAATGCAACTATTCCAACTGTTATCAGCCTCCCAGGACGTCTGGCTACAGGAAATAAAGGGAATAAAAGACCCCAAAATTGTGGCTCCAGAAGCACAGATTTTTACCTGAAGGAGAACAATTTTGGAAATGTAAAAGGTTTGTGACAAAATTGTTAAGCCATCTTATTTACAGGCATGTAGATGTATTTGTGACGTTGGTCACTCACAAAGAACTGAAAGGCAAAATGGTTCAGCAATTAGGTGAGGGCTTGGGGCCAGTGTGGAAATCCTGATCAACAACAAACCTCCTGAATGGTCATGGGAGCGTCACCAACATCCTTAACCTCAAAGACATCCAGGAACCACAGGTCATTCCAAAACTAACGTCTACAGTTGGCCAACTGCATCTCACCCTAGAGGATCCCACCTCTTTCCCATGGATATAAATGGATCTAGCGGTGACAAAAAGCTGCAGGTGTCCACTCTGGAAATGTCTGAATTAGGGCACATCCATCACACCTTGAGATGGGGATCCATCTCATGCAGGCAACTAGGATCAAGATGTACCTGTATGCTCCAACCAGGGTTACTTTTATTTATCCTCGTTGGGGAAAAAGCAGGCAGCTCCATCTGGTGACTCAACCCAAAGGAAACCCAGCACTAATGTTAAAACAGGATGAATTGCTTTCAGGAGCTACATCTACCTCTTCGCTGGTGATGACTACATTTTTTATCTATTTTTTAAGTGTCTTAAGGCATCTCAGCTCCAGATTCAGCTGTTAAACCTTAGGTGATGCTCAGCAGTCATCTCTACATGTCATCCTAGGGAAGTGGGGCTCTCTTTCATGTCTATAGAGAACCCAAGGCAGTACTTGGGTTCTTACCTAAACTAACATAAGTGTCCTGTTTCTTTCAGGTGGGATGAATCTTAACACACTCCCCCAAATTTCTGGGGTGCTAAGGGAGAAACAGTGAGAACTGGACCTAAGGTAGAGCTTTGGAGCTTGACTTGAGCACAGGGCTACCAACGGAGCACAAGACAGCACCACCTGAGAGAACAGATGCAAAAGGCACTGAAGGGAAAGCATGCAGAGTTTGAAAGCTTTCACCCCCACCACTGCATTTGAGGAGTGTTGAATCAATGATTCACCACTGGTGAGAGCACCTATTTGTATGTAAGGACAGGAAAGACACAATACAGTGTCCTGGGAAAGGTTTTCTACTGCTTTTTATTTAAAATTGGAGTAACTGATATGCACTGTAGAAAAGATCCAGTAGAAAAAAAGCTGAAATCTCCCACCCCATCAGTCAGGGATCCACTTTAGCACTCCACAATATGGGACACATAGTATTGTCCAACCCTCAAATCTCAAAAAAGGCCATCAAGCCATACAACCACCCCTAATGGTCCCCTGGTAACATGACTGCCCTCACCCCTACTGGTAGTCAGCTGGAGGGCTGTGACCATGTAGGTAGCCCGTGATGGTAAAGGAGAGCTCACCTGAATCAAACTGCTCCTGGTCGCCGTTGGCTGGGCTCTGACCCTTCTCTGGGGAGAGATTCTGGGTCTCTTGCATGGTGGCGATGAAGGACGCCCTTGTGTCCATGGTTCAGAGGAAGAGTCCTTCCCTTCCTAATTCATCCTGCAGCAGGGAGTTCCTAGAGCACAAACTAAATAAAAAAGAAACAACGGGTGATTTGTTCTGCCTACACCAACTCTCAGCCTTTCCTAAGGAGTTTCAAGTTATTTTGTGTTGATCGTAACCCTTCAATCCTGCTTCCTCATCCAAGATGAAGCTGTTGTTGAATGGGGAGCCACAGTAGAGGACACTTCCCTTAGTGGCAATAATCACTGCAATAACAGAGATGACAGTGTGGTAATAAGCAACATCCACAATATCCAACACAAAGGATTCACCTCCCAAAGTTCAGTCCAGCTCCCTGTGTTGCCAACTGAGAGATAAGGACATGCCCATAACGTGGCACAATCCTTGCCCAAAAAGGCACCTGAGCAACGCCAGCTCAGCTCAGCCCTCCTCCAACAAGTTGAGCCCATGGCTTCCAATTTCTTTTGATGGCTAACACTGTGTGAGCTATATCTCATTTCATAAATACTCAGATTTCTGAAGAGGGAGATTTACAGAAAAGAAGCAGAGGAAACAATGAATGGACAGTAATTGGGAGAGACTGGAAAAAACTCTAGAAAATAAAGTTCTACATGTCTAATGGAGATACCAGAATGAAATAGTACTAGCCACAACTGGTTTTTAATGAAGGCTGATCTAAGGGAACTGCAGCAGTTAGTACCCCCCAAGGTAGCAAATATGAACTCAGGTGTAGTTTGGGTCATGTTGGCAGAAGGGATTCTTCTTGAAGAAATTAACATAGTAAAAATAGAATAAAAACACAGAGATGAAAAATGATATGAGAAAGCAAATACAGACTGACTAGATCTTGAATCAGATACCAGACTAAATGAGAACTGTATTTCCAGCAAGAGCAAGCCACCAGACAAGCAATACCCAGAGAAACACCTTTAGGAGTAGATAAAAAAAAAAAAGAACTCCAAAGTGAGCTTTTCAGTAAAACTCACCAAGATGGTGATGAATTACAAGGTGTCAAAGGAGGGCTGAAAAAGAGAAACCAAGAGCGTGGGTTATGGGCACAGAGGGAACCAGCTATTCACACAGATACGCTAAAGTGAAGACAGATGGTAAGAAAGGTGTGTGTCCAGAATATAGCATGTGGAGGACGGGTTCTGCTTATTAGTGAATGCCTCCAATACCTGCATGAAAGCAAGGACTATGCTGGCAGCACCAACATCAAATGACTGCAAGAAGCATGACTAAAAGTAAGAAAATGGTTTACTGCCAGAGGCCAGGCAAAGCATGAGGTAGTAAGAGTGTAAAAATATTATGGGATTTTTTTCCAACTTTTACTGCTCAGGAAGCATATTCAGGAAGACCAGATACAGTGGTTATAAAATAGAAAGAATGAGAGTGGTTTGTTGTAGGTTTTTCATTCCCGGTTTTTAAGGCTACTCCAATGAAAGATGTGAGGGGAAAAATGACATGTATGAGCAGTTACAGCACAAACTGACAAGGATGAGGAGCATGTAAAATGTAAGTGTAACACCTGTTAACTGCTGGTTGGAATGGTCACAACAGCAATTAAACCACACTAAAGCCGCGTGTGCTTCAGAAAGCATCACTGATAGATGCAGATTACCAAGGAAGGTGGTTTGGCCAAAGTTAGACTTCCATCAGTGATTTGTGTGCCTCAACCTAAAGGAACCTACTAATGAAAAAATAAATAAATAGATAAATAAATAAATAAATAAATAAATAAATAAGGAGATTATAAACCTATTCAGTGCAATATATTTGCTGGTCTCTTTGCAGAGTGCTTAGTATACTTGGAGCACACCATAAAGAATAATGATCACTTCCCCATTGCGATGGCCACTACAGCACTTTATCTTTATTCTTTGTTGACATGAGACTTGCTAATGAATTAAGTGTTTTATATACTATGAGTATTTTGAGTGCAGCTATCCTCAGAACATATATATCACTCATCCCCAGTGTATATTAACTTTCAATTAACCATGAAACAAGAAGCAATCAGTCTACTGAAAGTCAAAAATCACTTCTCCTTCAGTAGAGAATACTTCCGTAAATATCATTAATAATAAATTGGTTAAGTATCAGGATTTTACATCAAGCTTGTTAAATACGAGAGGAGGGGAACTGTCAGCAGAAATGAAACCTTGGGCGGATTAAGCAGTTTTCATTTTTGCCTAGGACCAGGCAGTGACGGAAAGTAATCTGGGTCTATTAGAAAAAAGTAAAATAAAATAAAGGACAGAGAGAGATCAATCTAAACACAACAGATCAATCATCTTAAACAGAACTCAAGGGTACCAGTACAAATACCCAGAAGAAAGATAAGCCGTTTGATAGCATAGTTAAACCTTGTAACGTTCCCATGACGCTGATAGGGCAAAGTTATGAACTTAAAGAAAGCTGAAGGTGTCCATTCAGACAATGCCCCAGATCCATGAGAAGGGACTACTCCTCTGCCTGGGAATTTCTCCATCAGAAGTGGGAAATGGATGGGAAAAGCAGCAGGAAGCTGCCCGAGTGGCTGCAGCACGGCTGGGATTGATCCTCAACAGCCACGTCTGAGCTTAATTACATGGGAGCAATGCAGAATCTCAGACAAATTCAGCAATGTCATTGACATTTTTGTTGATTTAATTCTACTTTAACATTTTTTTTTCTTTAAGCTATGGATAACTTTCTGGTCTTGAGATGTCTCATTGAGAGTATCCATGTTCCAAGAGAACTGGATCTGCCTGAGGCTATGGTTTATCTTCTTATTTTGGGAATAACTAGTTCATAGTTCGTGGTAGGAGTGTGCTTGAGTGTCCTCCCAACACCATAAAACAAGACCAAACTCCTGTGCAAACACAAGCTCCAAGATAGCCCTGAGCCTGAGTTGATACAACTAACTAGCAAAGAAAGCTGACATAGGGTATTAATTTTTCTCTTCTTATTAATTGCTGCTAATTAACACTTCAAACGGAGTCCCTAGCCATACTGTTAACAGCAGCATGCTGACCTGCCTGCAACCACCACCACCAAACAAGCACCGCATGCTGCCCTTCGCTGATTTCCATCCATCCAAAGAAACACATTTCCCAAATTAAGGACCACGAGAAAACCAGGGGATGCGAAACTACAGCAAAAGATGCTCAAGGTGACACTACATCAGGCAGGAACAGAAGGAAAGGGATTACGAAATGCAACTGAAAGAGGGAGGAAGGAAAAAAGCCCCTGGTTGCAGATCCCTTGTTCACTGTATTTGCACAGTGGTGGTTTGAACCGATCCGATGCTTCCCCCACACAGCTCCCATTCCCCTGGTATTTAATTCACATCCAGACTTTTAATTCACAGGCAGGAAGAGCCAGCCAATATAAAAAAGAATCTCTTTTATTTGCTTCTTCCCACAGCTGTCAGTCTTAGCCGCATCATTATCTCAAACATGCTGCCTTGTCATCTCTATCAATATTGGCTCTTTGAATAAGTGCTGGCATTGGCTTTCTCACACCATTTTACATTTCTTGTCCCGTGTGCTCTACCCTGTTTTTCCTTCCTTTGGAATAAGCCCCTGTAGGGAGAGGTCCGCACACACAGACACAAATCCAGCACCTTTGGGTTCTCCCTTGGAATTACTCCTGAAAAATTCACCTTCCCCCTCCAACACATGCTTGGTTAATAGGGCCTGACATAAAAAAGGTAGGCTGCTGGAACAGAGGATGCAAAAGAGATCCTACATCCTTGAAACTTCCTATCTGGGTAATTTATGTCCATCACTTTACGCCAACATACTGCTGAGTCCTGAATGGAGGAGAAGGACCAACCCCACTACTTGGTGTCCCTGGGCTCACTGCATTTCCAGAGCTTGACCCTAGATATGCTGGTGGGATTTCTTTTACCTAGACGCTCCTTTACAGCTAACCAAGAGAAACCTGCTCAGGGCACCTTGCGGGGCTGAAGCGAGACAACCTAAGCTTGCACCGTACCACCAGCCCTGGGGAGGGTCCCTGTGCTGGCACAGCACCTGCTAAGATTTTAGATATCTACATTTGCCAGCAAGCAAACTGAAGGAACCAAACAACACAAGTTCTGCACTCAGGGTGAACTCAGCCCTGTGTGATTAGGTCTAGGATGCAGGCAAGTTGACCACCTCAGGATTGATCTTGAGTCAGGCTCTCCCCCACCCTCCCCCTTTATGTGACCACAAAGGCACCTTGTGACCCATGGGACACAATATGAGACCAGTCATCACCCAGTAGTCAGGGCAAACAGGAATCAAGTCAATAGCACCCTATAGCATTCTCCTCCACAGCATCCCTTTTGAGGGACTCACCCTTCATTGGGTGTCTGACCCAGTACTGAGCTCCCTTCCCTGCTAGCCTGGAGACACACATGTCCCAGTGGATCCCAGCCCCAGTAAGTGCTGGGCTCAGTCTCCCCAGTAGCCACACTGCAGATCTCAACACACAACCTCTACTTTTTACAGCTCAGGTCAAGTCAGCAATGCTTTCTGCCAGGTCTAAAAGTCTGGATGTGCAGTCTTTGCCTTAAACAATGCAGGTGACCTTTTTCAAAGCTCAGAGACCACCTCCAAAAGCACGCAGGGCGATCAATGCGGTCTCCAGCTTCCCCCAAAAAGCCATCTCACAGGCAATGCTGCAAATCTCCCGTTTCATTTAACACGACGATGCCCACGACTAAAACCGTGCCTAAGAAAGCCTGCTCCTCTAGGCAGAGGTCCCTAAATAAAACCATACTTCATGCAGGATTGCTAGTGGCAGCCTGCCACAATATTTACACCCCCCGAGCATCGGCACAATGCGAACGGAGGCTCGTTCAGAAGGGCTATTGAACACATCAAGGAGCAGCTTTCACCTCCCAGAGAAAGAGCCTGTCTCTCTTCCCAGACAAAGTACCAGTTGGAAACCTTTTGAGGATCACTTCTTCCAAATTCCTGTCCTTTCATTTATTTATTTATTAATTCGAGCGCTCCCCTCGCCCAATGTTTTCATTTATATCAAGTGACAATTTCTCCTTCACGTTGAATACCCCACAGGACTTGATTAGGG